AGGAGGGAGGGAAAAAGGCACGGTTGACACCCACTTGCGTTTCAGAGCGGCCGTGGCCCGGGTAAATAACGTGCAATAATACGCGGATCGCAACCGGATCGTCGCCGGGGCGCAAGGATGCATATAAATCGAGGTGACATAATTTGCTTAATTCGCTCGGGGAGAGGGAAGAGAAACGTTCAGTGGGCTCCGCTTCAGGCGTCAACCTCCGCGTGATAAGGAATTAGACTGGTCATACGCCAAGCATTTCAACCATTATGTGAGCTCCCTTCCTCGGTTAATTGATAATGCCAGCCGGATAAGGCTATAGAAATAGATCTCTAAGCTTGATGTACGAGTTCCGCGGGACGGAGGAGTTTAATGGAATTATGCGGACGAGGTTCTCGAGCTTGGTTATAGTAGGATGAGGTGACTCATAATGATCTTTTTCCTCGGTGTAAATATTCCTTTGGACGATGCTGGCCGAGCCTCGTTGGCTAAATAGGAAAAACTTATCGGCGGCGTTACGATATGTTTTATATTATTTTTATCTTCAATTTCTAGTGATGCAACGATCGAAAAGGATTGGAAGTTCGCAGATTCGTACGAAATTACATTATGACGGTTATTTCTCCTTGAAGTATTTAGCAAAGAATCGAAAGAAACGACACTTTATAAAGTTTTATAAACTTTTCGCTTCGCTTTTCATCTTCTCAACGAGCAATAATAAATTTGCGCAGCGTAATATTATTTCTCGTAAAATCGAGCTTACTTCTCCACCTGCGCAACGCGATATATCTCACATCGCCAATTACTTTTACTCGACACCTTATTATCACGCGTTTTAACGGCGCAAATTTCTATAAAGTCCGACTCCATATAATTAAATAGTTGCCAGTAGCATGATTAAGTGCCCCTATTCCGGCCATTAAATGTCGGTGCACGTTGCATTAGCGGCCACTCGTTGAATCGCGCCGAGTACCAACGCGATCAGCCATCACACAGAGACAAGAATAAAGCCCCGCAATTCCGGTAGCGATCGTGACACGTACACGCAACGAGACATTGTCAATCGACGATCGTTACGTCGACGGCCAGTTCGTCCAACGATATCCGTGCTCGCGATCCAGCTATGAATGAATGTGGCGCCAAGTGAATGGAGAGTGCGTCTGTTCGAGCTTGCCTACGCACCTCGCAACGAGGTTCTGAACCCTCGATCGAGCCGTGCGCACTCCTATTAAATCTCCTTTAGATTAGCTCGAGTTATTTGAATTCGAGTTATTTGAATTCGAGTTATTCGACCGCATTATCAAATCGTTTACCTCGCTTTGACGATAGATCCTTTATATCCCTTGCTTCGTATAGGCTTCTCACTTTTTTCGCGAGGAATCCTATCGATTATATCAAGAAGACGCTCTTACTGTTATTATACATCGAGGGATGAAAATGTAACAACAATTGATGGATCGAGTTAAATTTTCGCGAGTTAAATCGTTCGTTTGCACTTTACCCTCGGTTCCGACTCGTAATCGCTCGTTAATCTATCGATGGAGTTATCTCGTCGAAGCTTGTCGATAATTCTTCGTGTAAATTTCATCCGGCTCGAAGATCCGTTCGAGCGATTCGATTCGTTGCTTCGTTTTTGCTCGTGACTCGATTCCAACCTATTTTTCTCGGCCCTATATTCGTGCATAAATTCGGTGTTGGTTATTCGTTTGGATCCTACGAGTTATCGACGCGATTATCGGTTATTAAATCCGCTCGATCCCCCGGCGAACGCGTTCGACGACTCTTTAATCGCGATAGTCGATCGCTGGCAGCGACAAGCCACGGTATCGTGGCAGCGAAATGCCAACCGGTTGATATCTACGGCCCGAAGCGGTCGAGCAACTTTGATGTGACGTGACCAAATTGATTCATGGCTCATTGTCACGCACGGGTACGATCGCGAGCTAATTATCTGCGACGAGGTTCTCTCCGCTCGCGAGCTTGTTACATTTTAGAAGGGAGGTTGTTTCGTGATTCCCTGTTTACCTAATCCAACCGGTGCCCCGCCTCTTTTTCCCAGATAACACTTACTTGTAAATCGCCACGATTAGACCCCGCGTTATCGGTATTAGACCGTATATTAGCGGCGATACAACGGTTAGCCGTGTGTTACTTTGCCGCTATTAGCGAGAATACTAATGAGTTGGCGTTGAGGGATTATCGAGGGTGTTTACCGAGCGATTAGGTATCGACGCGATAGATTAGAAGGTAATTGGGAGAAGAAGCGATGTCGAAATTCTCGAGACGAGGAAAATTTGGAGAAAAGATTCGTTACTTTGCTCCTCTGTTCCTGGCCAGCATTTCTCGAACGCAAATTCTATTTAATTCGTGGAATAATATACGCGACTCATTATGCGAGCAAGGGATAGCTGCATAGCTGCACGAGTCTTCCTTGATGTCGGGAATTATATCACGGTCATTAACGAATGTTGCTACAGATAAATACGTACCGTACAACGTTGTCAAGGGAAACGAAGAAGGTTTATCGCATGGACGAATGAATCTTGGTTAATTAAATAAATTAAACTTCGATAATTTAATACCGATTTTTTTATCTTAATCGAGCCTATACCGAGATAACGTTAAATTTTATTCCAGTAACATTCGATTCTCCTTTACTCATTCGTTCGCCAATCGATTTTATCGAAATTAATCCATGATCTCTTGTTGAATTCAAGTGATCGATAAGAAAAATGAAGAAACAAATTGCGAAAGAAAAAAGAAAATCTCACAAATATTTCTCAAACGATGCAACACTTTCTAATCGATTTTTATTTAGGGAACCGGGACTAAGAATCACTTTGGTTGAAAAAAAGTAAGATAAAATAAAATAAAATAAAGTAAAACGGTTGGCAGCTACCTGCTGAACGGATAAAGGGAGGGAGGGGCCCACGGAGAAATCGACCAGCAGATATACACATATACACATTTAACGATTGCCCCGGAGGAGGCTGGCCGGCGATCTTATCGGGGACGGGGCCCGTGGTCGGATGACGGGCAGGAATTAGGCAATTACGCGCCGCTTAATTGCTAATTACTCAAGGGCGCAACGAGCCGGGGGACACTAATTACTTCCGCTGACAATTTATATCGCGGGCTTTGAACGCGCGTGATAATCGTCACCGTTATTGTGCGGGGTGCTGGCCACAAGGACAGAAAAAAGGGAGTGAGGAGGGGGTCGTGTATTTACGTATCCTCGAGAAAGAGGTTTTTTCCTCTCCGTTTCGGCTTGGAGAGAGAGAGAGAGAGGGAGAATCCCGGG